CCGGTGGCCTCCTGCTGGACGCGCTGCCGGGGCCGTACGCGGCGGCCGCCGCCGGGCCGCTGGGGACCGCGCCCGACCGCTTCCCGGCCGACCTGGACCTCGACATGTTCAGCGGGAGCCTCGAGTGCGACGTCGAGTCCATCATCCTCAACGACTTCATGGACAGCGACGAAATGGACTTCAACTTCGACTCGGCCCTGCCTCCGCCGCCGCCCGGCCTGGCCGGGGCCCCGCCCCCCAACCAGAGCTGGGTGCCGGGCTGAGGGCCGCCTCCCGCGCCCCGGGTGCCCCGCCCCGCCCCCAAGGGGCTTCTGTCTTCCCGTCCTGATACCCTGGGCCCCATCCCCGATTCCAGCTCCACGGGAGGATCCGGGAGGCAGCCCCAGGCCTGCTAGAGACGTCCCTCAGAAGCTGACCACCGAGGGAAGTGGTAGGGAGGGGCTGGGGCACCTGCCATTCCTGCCCAAACTCCTGCGACCCGCTCCTCCTCCCTCCCCCGGGGGCAGGAGGCCTGGGCGGAGCGGAATTTCAGGCTGGGTGGGAGTGGGGACGAGCCAGGTGGGCTGCGCTGGTGGGGGATACCAACCAGGAGGTGTGGCACAGGGCTGGGGGCGTCTCCGAATCTTCAAGTTTCATTTGCAGGGGCCCTCGCCGCGACGGATCACCCACCCCAAACTCCGGATCTGATTCCCAACTGACACCTTCCCACTGGTCTTAGCCTCATCCACCCCAAGCCAGGAACCCCTCCCGGAAGCACTCACACCTACCTGTTGGCTGTTCACCCTGAGCTGTTTTCCTTCAGCCCCAAACCCCTGCTTAGAGCCCCCATTCCCATGGTTCAGCCCCTCCCTCCTATCCTTGCAGGTCCTACCTTCTCCTCTCCTCTCCTCTCAGGTTGGAGTCAATCCCCCTTCCGACCCCCACTCTCCAGTAATGGTCTCAGCCTCTGCAGCAGGCCTCAGCTCCGGATCCACCCCCAAACCGACACCCCTTTCTCCATTCCAGTCCTGCCTCCCCTCCCGTATTTATAAGTGTCCGGTCGGGGCGGGCTGTGGGCGCGGCGTCCCCGGCGCATATCGTAGGCAGTGTACCGTGGCCGTGCCGTCAGCGTGTGCGTGTGCGTGTGTGCCGTGTCGAGGCCGTGTAGAGTGCATTGTACAGCATATTTTCATGAATAAAATTGTTTTAAATATTTCCCGCGCCTTGGGCTAGCAGGGGTGGTGGTGGCAAAGGAGTAATATCGGCAGGGATGGTGGGGGGGGGTCCCTGTGCCTGAACCCCTCTTGTGGCTTTGTGCCTGAGTATATGTCAGCATTCCCTGATGCCTGTCTGCTCAACACACGTTGGTTAAGCGCCTACTGAGTTCTGGACGCTGGCGATGTCCTGGTGTGGAACTCTGCACCTGTTTCTGTGAACATATGCAGGCAGGAAGTTTCTGGTTTGGGGGGAATTCTGTCCTGAATACATAAGCCTCAGAGGTTGGGAGAGAAGGCACAGATATTCACTGAGAACCTGCTAGTGTCAGGTCCTGCATTAGGTATGATTTTTGTTCCCATTGTGCAGATGAGAAAACAGGGTCAGAAAGGGAAAATGGCTTGGGAAGGCAGGGTGGGATAAAGGAAGGGAGTCCTTTGAAGGTACACAGACTTCTCTTTGAATCCATTCCCTGCCTTTTGCTAGTTCTGTGCCCACGGGCAAATTTTCAACGTCTTACTTTTCTGGTCTAGACCATAGGATAGTAGCACCCATTGCCTGGATTTCTGCTGAGGAGTAAATGAGAAAAGATGTGTAAAATGCTCAGCCCTGCACTCATTCATTAATTCATCCATGGAAGATTTAGTGAGCACCTTTAAGTGCCAAGGTCTTGTACCAAGCATTGGGGCTGCCAGAGAGAGCATCAGAGGCACAATCTCCGCCCTCAAGGAACTTAGAGGCTCAAGGGGGACCCAGGTGAGTAAACAGGTGATTATCGATCAGAGCTGTAATGAACGGAGGAGACAGGCTGCTGTGGGAATGAATGACATGCCGCACCCATCCCAGGCTCGAGGAATCAGGGAAGGCATCCGGAGGGGGTGCTGTCTCAGCTGAACCTTGAAGGGTGAGTTGGCACTGGGAAGGGGAGGGATTCAGACAGGGAGGGAATGGCATATTGAGAGGTCCGGAGTCGAGATCATGTGGGTTCCAGAACCAAAAGCAGTTTAGTGTGGCCAAAGCAAAGAGATGGAGAGATTACTGATGATGGGGAGGCAAATGGGCCAGAAGGGGGACCTCTCCCGTCAGTGGCCAGGCCAGAGGTGTCAGTGGTGACTCAAAACAGGAGGGATTGGGGAGGGCAGTGGGGCAGGAGGGGAAAGGATGGATTCCCATATATTTTGGATGTAGAATCACTGGGACTGGTTTTGGATTGGACACAAGGGGTGAAGGACAGGGAAGAATCAAGTGATGCCTGGTTTCTGGTTGGGCACCTGGACGGGCAGGGCCATTCCCTGAGGAGAGCATCGAGGTGGGAGGAGCCCTGGGGAAGATGGTACACTCAGCCTCAGACAGGCTCCTTTCAGTTAGGCTCCACGGAACCCTTGGGATTTTGGAAGGATGTTCAGCAGTATATCTACTGTGTGAATGGCAGTCCCTGGCACTGGGCAGCATGGTGGCCTAGAGATGTCCAGCTGGATCATGGAGTCAGAAACCCTGGGGAGGGAAGATAAAGAATCAGGAGCACAGAGGTTGTCATGGAGGTGTTAGGAGTGGCTCAGGGGATGGTGCTGAGTGGGAAGGGCAGGGCGACCCAGGCCTGCTCCAGTGAACACCTAAGAACACGTTGGCACGGGAAGAGGAACCCACTGGCTGAGAAGGAGCAGCCGAAGGAAGAGGAGGAGGAAAACCACAAACACCGAGTATGTGAAAAGAGCGTGGTTCTGGAAATAACGCCTAGTGCCTTTACCTTTTGGAGCCTCACTTTTCCTGGTCTGGAAGCTGGGTCAGTAGCACCTGTCTCAGATCTGTTTTGAGGAGTGAACAAGATTGGAATTATTCTCTGAGGTCACGCTTCCAGCAAGGGGCAGAGCCGAGGTTCTTGCCCAGACTGTGTGTACCGCCAATGCCCAGGCTTCCCCGTGGCCCCCACTGCCTCTGATGAGGTGGCTGTGAGCAGGGCAGCAAAAGAGCTCAGAGCCAGCAGGACTTACACAGGTCCTGGGCTAAGGGCTGGGAGGCAAGACCTCACTGTGGGGTGTGGTAGCTGTCCTCGCTGGGTGGGGAGCATATAGAGGCTGATGGACTATCCCCTGGAACAGATGCCCCAGCCCCACCCCACAACCAGACTCCAGGACAGCCCCGCTGGGTCTGGGCTCCATATGGGCTGCAAAGCTGCCCCCACCCTAAGCTGATGGAGGGTGGGCTGCTGGTATGCGCGTGCAGGTTTGTGTGTGTCCATGTAGCCCCATATGCATCTGTCTGTGTGGGCCCGTGTGCTTGAGCGCTGGCGGGGCGGGGGGAGGCTGAATGATGGTTGGGGTCTCCCTGTCTGTGCGCATGCCTGAGTGAGCGTGTGTGTGTGTGTGTGTGTGTATGTGTGTGTTGGGAATAACAGCATCTCCATCTCTGAGTGTGCCCACACGTGCGCCCGGGGCTGTGGAGACTGCTGGTGTGAGTTGTGTGCACTGCATGCTTTCCTCTCTGGGTGTGTCTGCTGTCTTGGCGCATACCTCTCTCTGGGTGCACCAGAGCTGGTGTTCCCCCCGCCAGGAGCTTCTTCTGGGCTGCTCTGCGGGGCGGGGAGCGGGGGGGAGCAAAGGGCCACTCCCAACCCTGGGATTGGGCCAGGCTCATGAGCAGGGAGCAGCGAGACCACCTCAGAGTAAAGACAGTTCTGCCAGGCTCAGGCCAGAGACAGCGTCTGTCTTGCTGGACCCCATCAGGAGAAAGGGGGTAATACCCCTGCAGCTGGGGGTCTGCAACTGGCCCTTCCCTGCCAGCCTTGGAGCCCCGCAGACGCGCCCCCCTCTATGCCCACTCCCTGGGAGGCGTCTGACACATGATTTATTCATAACAAGCCATTATTTGTGCCAAAGAACTGAGGCGCTGCTTTTTAAGTGCTGATAATGCTCTGGGCCTCCTTGCCTCTCCGCCCCCCACCTCCTGTCTCTCTCCTCTCTCTCACCTTCTTGGGACTTCCCATCCTTTCTCCTCCCCTTCTCCCCCTTCCCTCAGCTCCCTTCCTATTCCTTTATTGTTTCTCCTCAACTCTTCTCCCAGTTTTTCATTCTCCCTTCAGCCCACTCACCTGCTCCACAATTAGGGGAGTCCGGCAGGGATATGGAGCCTCAGAACCAATTGTCCCAGACTGGGGAAGCCGGCCTGGAGCCCAGGGCTCCCCCGCCTCCACCTCAGCTGTCACCTCTTCAGGACTAGGGCTAGGTAGGGAGGAGGGACAGCAGGCTGGGAAAGGCAGGGGATGGCTGTCAAAACCAGCTCCCCCTGTGCTAGAGGCTCAGTCGCCCAGCCTCCCAAAGAAACATTCCATCTAAAAAGCAGCGCCCTGGCTCGGCTAATGCAGATTCTTGGCAAACTCTGTAGGCCCTGTTGCCCCCCTCCCCCGCCAAGTGCCACCTATAGAGATTCTGGAGCCACCGTTATCCACATGGTGTCGGGGTGCTGGCATCAAGGGAGGCACTTGGGGTCCCCCCGCAGAGTACCCTCTGTCCAGACAGGAGGCCGCAGAATGAGTATCACAGATGTAAGCGTGGATGCAGACACACGCAAGTCTCTTAGAAGCAGACACCGCAGACCCACGTGTGTGTGTGTGCGTGTGTGTGGTGCCCTCACGTTCACACGTGCACACACACAGGCTTGCACACAGACGCACACCTACTCATGCAGATGGAGACTCATTCCTCCCCTGAGCACCTGCAGCGGGGGCTGAAACTCTTTCCCCATTCAGGTACCTGTTTGTTCGTTCATTCGTTCATCCATTCCTTCATTCATTCACTCTTTAAACCTTACTTTTACACCCTCTCTGGGCCAGCGCCGGGGCTGGGCACTGGGGTGGCAGAGATGAACATGATTGGGCCATAGGGAGGGGAACTGGAGCAGAGGGGGCACTGCAGGCCCCTCCAGCAGCCTTGGGCTGGGGGTTAAGCGCCCAGCAGGCAAAGGGTTAAGTCATTTGGCATCCAGAGCTGGAGCCATTAGGCCTCCTAATTATGAAATTATCGAGGTCCTCAGGTGACTGCTAATTTCACACACACTGTTCCTCTCACGGCTAATGAACGCCCGCAGAACCCACGCCTTGTCTTTCCTGCTGAACGGTGACCTGCAGTTAATGAGCTCAGGAAGGCAGACAGGCCGCCGGCTGGGTGGATGGGGCGCCAGGCCTGAGGAGGGGCCCGCAGGAGGGCGGCAGTTTGCAGGACTGGCTAGGCCAGGGGCTCTAGCGAGCAGGGAGACGTGCAGATGGGGGGCGGGCTTCAGGTCACAGGGTCCTGGCAGGAGCCTGGGGGAGGGGTAGGAAAAATGGAAGGTCAGCGATGGGGGAGAGGGTTGGCATGGGCCTGGGGCTGGGGTAGGAGAAATGGGATGTAAATGGTGGGGAGGGGAGAACACTTCTGCTGGGTCCCGGGCCCCTGGCAGAGTTTCAGGGCTGGGAGTCACAACAGCACAGCGTGAAGGGTGGGACTGGTGGCGGGGGGCATAGTCATCATACCACGATGCTGGAGATGGTGATGACTCCGGGGCCTGGCAGTGCTAAAGGCCAGGTAGTGATGCTGCTGGTTATGATTTTTTAAGTTTTGATTTTTTTTTTCAATTAAAAGAGGAACATAAAAAATATCCTGCAAAATAGGAAGAAAAAAATGTAACACAGGCGGCTTGCAGTCTTAGGTGGGGGCGGGGCAGGAGCCCAGCTCTCTTCCCTCTGGGGACACCACGGGCCCTTCAGGCTCAAAACCAAGTAGGGTGGAAGGCCGTGTGACCTGCCCGTGGGGGCGCCCCGCCTGGCCTGGGGTTCACCAGCCCGGTCAGGGCCAACAG